AAATCCAAAACCTACCGTACTTTGAACATCTTAGACTACAGTGAAGATGATTTTGTGATACTGTGATTTATATTACAAAATATGTATCTGTCTTCTTCCTGTTTCTGAAACAAAGTTCCTAAAACCCGTGGAATTTTCTAAGCAATAAGAGTAATGGGAGCATCTTTTGTTATAAGATTTGGTCTTTGTCCTTGGTTCCTCAAAGAGCTCCAGAGCCATCAAGGTGAAAGGAATGTCTTGTTATTCATAACAAGCCCCTTTCAACCACATCTGAGTTTATGTTAATGAAGTGGCTTTTGAAAAGCCCCTAAGGATGGGAGCTATTCTCCAAGAGAACAAGCAACTGTGATTAGAATCCCTCCCCCCCAACACACACACATGCACCTTTGGGGAGGGGAGAGGGCTGGAGGCTGAAAATCACCAACCACCAGTGCTTAATTAACCATCCTATGTAATGAAACATATAAAAATCCAGTAGTAGTCAGTAGTCAAAAGTGCAGGTGACAACCTGAACTTGAAACTGGCATGGGGGGGGGGCACTCGTGTGGGACTGAACCCTAACCTGTGGTATCTGACGCTATCTCCAGGTAGATCATGTAGGAAGAGAATTAAACTGCAGAATACCCAGATGGTATCACAGAATCACTTGGTGTGGGAAAACTACCGCACATCTAGTGACCAGAAGTGCGCAAAGTGAAGACAGTACTGGGAGTGGAGGAGACACACAGCACGGTGTTTTTCCATTAGAGATGTACTCTGAAAACCATGTTAAGATCATTTAAAAATGGATTCAGATAATGAAAAAAACATGGATGTAGAAGATACACTATGAAATGAAATTGCTTCATGAATGTGAGGGTGCAAGAAAGGCAGGACTATTATATTATTTCATATAAAACATGATCTGTAAATACGTTGGTAGATAAACCATTTTAAAAAGGTATATAATTCTCATTTTTTTGGTCTTCTCATTGGAAATTGAGGACCCACCTTATACACACATGATTATATGCTTTACAAACCACTTCACTTCTCCCTAGAACACAGTTTATTGGACTTAGGTATAAAGTATTTGTTTTAATTCTTTAAAAAAGGGTCATTAAGAACCATATTAAAGAAACATTTCCTTTTGATTTCTAAGTTTATTTTTCCCTTTTAGTTTTATGGCAACCATAGCTGGCTTTGAAAAATGTAAACATATAGTCAGTCTCGTTGAAACAAATACCATTATCACAAAATCTCTTTATAATAAAATATTACCAAGCAAGCTTAGTTTGGACTAATAGTACAAACGAATTTAGGTAAATGTCTGGAAATGGTTTTAACAAGACATGACATTTATTTCTAATTGGCTAATAAGAAAAGACCAGCACAATATCAAAACATGCAAATTAAATGGGTCTCTGACTGAAATAAATCAAGATTGAGTTCAAGGAAATGAGATCAGGTACTTAAAAATTAGTATGTTTTCCATGGTTGAGTTTTAATGAGGATTTGGGCCTGTCAAAGAATCATATAGAACCAGTATCCTCTCTTAGAGTAGTAGTAAGAGGTCATGTAGAATCTGTAACAAATTTAAGAGGTGACAGCAGCCCTAGAGCACAAAGATGTAATTCCCCAGGCCTCTGAGACCCTCAGCCACCTTCCTCTGGAGTCCCGGGACCCAGCCTGCTTCCAGGTACTCTGTGCAGCGTTCCTCTCCAAACTGGCTCCAGAAGAACAACACGACCCAGTATCTCACAATCCCACCCTCCTTCCCAGGAGTTATCTCACTGTTACACTCCCAGCCATCAAGGATTTGCATAAATACTTAAGAAAAAAAAAAAGATAAAAGAATGGGAGTAATACAGAATTAAGAGGTTTCCAAAGATCCAAGAAAATGTGATCCATTATCGTATTGTTTCTTTTGACTTTGGAGTCTGAGGTTGTAGTCACTCCATTTCTTTGTAGATCTAGGGGAAAGATGCTCACTTCCCCTCCTTCCCCTCTGAGGGCTATCAAGCGGCAGCTGTCTCTTGGACTCTTCCCTGGGTCCCCCTATAAGCAGGTTTTCTAAGTCTGTGATGAAAAGTTTCGGCACACATGCGTGCACCCCTGCACACACACGCATACACACTCCCACCCTTCACGCACATAGAAGAAAACTGAGATGCTGATCGTCAGAGACCCATCTGTGCAGCCTGGGCAGAATCATGACAAGACTCACGTCTCCCAGTCCCCATACCAGTGACATTCCATTCTGACACTCCGATAAATCATTCTTTCAAGTCCTCCATCTGAGTACCAACAGCTGCTTTACTGCACCAGCTTTCCTGTGAACAAACTCAAGTGGAATGGATTCAAGCCATTCAAGTTCCCCCCCCAGAACCCCAAAAACTGAGGAAGATGACAGAGGTCAAAAGCGGGGGGCAGCTAAGCTGAGTGATCAAGGCCTCTGTGCTTGTTTGTCTCTCTTTTCTCTCTTAACCTCCCCATATTAAGACGTATTTGTGTTCATTTCAAGAGGCAGAAGTGCTATCATCCCCAACCCCTGAGCTCCCGAACTAGGCTCAGTTGGCAAATGGACTGCTTCTACCCATGCACAGAACACAGCTTGATCTTTAAGCTGCAGGAGGTGGTTTGAAGAGCTCTGATATTTCTTTGGTAGATACTTGTAAACATATAATTAAAATTAGTATCTCTAGAAACAAAACTAATCTTATCAAATTAATACATTTTAAAACACCAAAACTTGGTTAAGAAGTGTCTTTAATAATCAACCTCACAGGTCAATAAAGGAGCTATAAATACATAATTTACTATCACCTGACAGTTGTGAAACTTGTGTGGTTTTAAAGAAATGTTTACTGTTACCAGTTGCTTATTCCTGGCTCTACAGGGAAACAGTTATAGATCTAAAAAGACCTAATCAATTATAACCAAAGATTTGGTGTAGGTATAGGTAGGGAATGCTAGAGAGGTGCAGGAAACAGAGGACTGGCTAGTCCATAAAGTAACTAAGTAAAATCAAATTCACTCATCCAAATCCTTGGATACTTTCTTCCTCTTTTGCATGAGAAGACCCGGGTTGAGAATGCTGGCTAGCAATGAATGTGTTTCGCATCCTCCTGGGACTCAGAATAAACTCTTGGAAAAAGGAATTCACACCATGACTTAAGTCCTTTTTCTATTCCTCATCCTCACCTCAAGAAACTAGAAAACTTAGTCTATTGAGTTCATTAAAGCTAAAGTCTTCCACTCAAAAGCATCAAATTAGGTCAAGGGTATAAGACAAGAAGCCCAGTTTCTAATCTCTTTGGAGCACCACATTTTCATCTGCTAGATAAGAATTACTTAAGCCACAAACAAGGATCAGAAAACTGGATTCAGGGGTGCCTGGGTGGCTCAGTCCATTAAAAGTCTGCCTTTGACTCAGGTCATGGTCTCAGGGTCCTGGGATTGAGCCCCTCTTCGGGCTCCCTGCCCAGGGGGAAGTCTGTTTCTCCCTCCGCCTGCCGCTCCCCGCCTTGTGCTCTTTCTCTAATAAATAAATAAAATCTTAAAAAAGAAAACTGGATTCAGATTTTTAAGGTAAACCCAACTAGTAAAAAAGTAAATACAATGGACTGGGAAAGGCGGAGCAATATGGTAACTGGGTCAGAGACAGGATATAACTAAAAATCAGAAATATGACTTAAAAGATTAGATGTGGTTTACACCCCAACAATATAACCCACTCTTAGGTATTCAGGTTAATAGGAAATGTACAAATTCAAGACTGAAAGCTGCCACATTACCCCGTTTTAGGCATAGATCTAAACATAGCTGAATGGGGATAAAATTCCCTCCATGTAAGAACTTAGGTAAAAACGCAGTTTATCAGAGTAAAAGCAATGTTAAACTGCTTGCTGCTTGAAGGTGGAAATAACAGCAACCATGTCCCTATGCGGGTAAGAACCAGTGTGCGCAGCCTTCTGGAACCTAGCCCACATACAAGAAGAGGAGCTTCTATTAAGATCAACCTGAGAAATGTATACTAGTGGTCTACCACCAGCTGGATGACCTCGGGAAGTGTACTTAAGTTAGAGTCTTAGTTTCTTACTTATAAAAATTATTTATAGAAATTATTTTACCTATCTCATGGGGTCATTGTAAGTATTAGATGAGATCATTTATAAAGAGTACCTAACCCACAACTCTTTACTGAGGATGTTTTGTTCTTATTCTCTGTAAAGACAAACCAAGTTGTTAACGCTACAGCAGAAGAAGACGGGGTTAATCTTTTAAGGTTTTCTTGTTGGTGGTTTTGTTTTAATCAAAGAACTGTCATGATAAAGAACCTAACCAAAGTTATTTATTATAAAATTGAACGTTATACTTATTATGAACCTAAAGCTGCTCATTGGATTGTATAAATTTGAGTACAAAGTATTAAAAATATGTGTCTTTCTTTGTTTTTATATGGCAAAATTTTCTGTGTGCTCCTCTTTGGAAAGGGTATTCCCATCAGTTATAAACTGCTGCTCCAAATGTGATAATTTAGATCAAGGTCATTACCAACCCAGATGACCAAACCTGAAAAATACTGTTCTCACGTCAGAGACCTTGAAGAAAGAATGCTCTAATGGGATTAAAATACCTTGTAAAGAATTACAACATGAACAGCTCAAGAAATCTTAATTTGTAAAAGGTCACAGAGTTACAAAAAACATCGCTCATTTCGGCTAATTAAATGAAATTTTAGTTAAACGACACCTTTAAATATTGGTATTGCAGCTGCGAGTGCATTTAAATAGCATTTACGCAGATATAATTAGCACAATTAAACATGGGTAGAAGTGGAAACACCATTCTTAATTATATTGATATAATCAGTTTTATTAATGCTTTATAGCAACAAAAGTGACATCTGACAGTAGCACACAATTCACGACTGAACCTAATATTAAGCATTTTAGCATATTAAGGAGTCTAAAGCTAGGTAATTGGGGAAAGAAAGAAATCAAATAATGCGTGCCTACCTGTGACGATCCCATAGTTGGGAGGTTCGAGAATTACTCCGTAAAACTGGATGATGTTTCTGTGACTGAGGACACTGAGTATTTCTGCCTGTACGAAAATCAAATACAAAGTTACGTAAGATTTCACATTTATAAAAGTCTCATAAAAGAGGTTTCCCATTCAGTTTCCTTTTACATACATTTACAAAGATAGATATGTGCTCAACAAGTATGCGATACTGATAGAACTGTCTTTAGCAGCCTTCTTAAAAGTTTAAGAATTTTGATTGAAGCTTTCTGACAATTTAAAAAGGAAATGGGGGGGTGCCTGGGTGGCTCAGTCGTTGAGCGTCTGCCTTCGGCTCAGGTCATGATCCCAGGGTCCTGGGGTCGAGCCCCACATCGGGCTCCCTGCTCAGCGGGAAGCCTGCTTCTCCCTCTCCCACCCCCCCAGCTTGTGTTCCCCTCTCTCGCTGTATCTCTCGCTGTCAAATAAATGAAATCTTTAAAAAGAAATTAAAAAAATAAAAAATAAAAAGGAAATGGGATGAAGGTGAAGCAGTAGAGGTACGTCCTAGCAAGCCAGCACGACAGGAAGCGAGGAGGGTGGCGGCGAGGCGAGAGGCCATAGCTGTTTACAGAAAAGCCCTCTTCCTAATAGCTGAATATGTTTTTTCTGCATCGTGTCTCTTGCGGGAGACTCAAAACTGAACTTCTACCAGTTGGATGAGTAGTCATGACAAAATTAATGGAGGATTTCTTAACTATTACTGAAACAGGTTCAGGTAATACCCATTTATATTATTTATCTAATCATTCAAAATATATCCTTGCTCTTGTACTGTATGCAGCAAAGTGGTGGGTTCCTGCCCTTCAGTAGTGATTTGGGAAGTAGGGGAGCCATGCTTTATATTTGAAATGTATTAAATACCAGAACACTCTCTTGCAGAGTGACATCATAAAAAACATGAAACTTAATTTTTTAAATGAAAAAACAGAGATACTGCAGTGTATATCTGCTAATGTCTATAAGAAGGGCATTCTCTAAATTAACTAAGTCATATGTACTTGTTACTTTTGTGGAGATAAAATATGGCTAATCAGGAATTATAAATACAATTAGATATAAAATCATTTAGGTGCAAAAAAAATTTGTTTTTAAATGAAAAGCATGTTATTGTAAGTAAATAAATAGGAGATTTATAATTCCCCATTCCAGAAAGGGTATTCAGAAGGTAAGCAAATAAGGAAAAATGGAACAGGGTTTGGTTTGAAAGGGGACTCCCCTTTGGGAATCTGCTCAATGTAAATTAGTATTATTTGTTACAAATTTTTTGTCACAGGATAAGAATCGAGATTTCATTAAAAACACTGTGAAATTTGTTTTTAAGGTGGTATAACTAAGTACAAAAACAGAAGTTTAAGGGTTGGCATGGGGTCAGTATGGAATCAAGAGAAAGGAAAATCATCATTGACTGGATGAGACGTTTATCAAAGCTTCTTTGCTAGTGTTCTTCTTTTAGTGATGCAGGTGCTGAAAGGGGCTATCAAAACACTTCTTTCACACTCCCTGAGTGCCTACTGGGTGCAGAGGTTCTATGTTCATCAAACAACCTTCTTCCCATAGTTTAGTTTTCCAAGTAAAAAGAAAATGCATTCACTGAGCAAGACAATTATGCATCAGTATGGCAATTCTATTCTTATTAAGAAATAATAAATGAACTTTGTTCTTAAAACAGAGTTCAGGGGGCGCCTGGGTGGCTCAGTTGGTTAAGCGACTGCCTTCGGCTCAGGTCATGATCCTGGAGTCCCTGGATCGAGTCCCGCATCGGGCTCCCT